ATTGTTGCCATGAGTCACTGGAGCTGTACACACTTGTACCACAGATGAGTTTAGCCATGGTGCTCATCTGGTAAAGTACAGCTTCAGTGTCTGCTCTTAGTAGCGTCCCACAAGACAAATTAGGAACCAAGGCACAGTAAGTTGAATTTCATACTAACATTAAACACTCTATTGACTTTATTAGACTGGACTGAGAGTGAAGATCTTTTGGCACAGTGCCAGGATCCATGGTGTACAACTCAAGTTGTCCACAGGGGATGAGGAACAAGCTGGCTGCCGACAGTGAGGCTCGTAAGCATACATTGCACCATTTAGCCTGTGAAGTTAGCATAGACTCTTCCTGAGTACAATGGGAACAGCTACTCCTTGTTAGTTTGGTCTGGCTGGACAAGCTCTCAGCACATCCTTCCTGCAGGGGTCACAGCAGGAGAATGTGGAGGAAAACAGAAGTAGTGAGGAGAGGTTGTAGAGCAGTGTCACAGAAAACACCCTTTTTCACTGAAAAACTATCAGTAAGGCAGTTAACAAGAAGTCTGGGTACCCAGCCAGATCAAACCAACCTCCAGTACTCAGTCTGCAGAGATCTTACCCTCCTTGCAGCAGTGCTGGCCAAGCCTCTCCCTCTAATGTTAAAACAGTCTTTAATTTAAAAGGAAAGGACCTCCAATTGCTCTGATCTCTGGTTTCCACAACCACGGGGAAACATGGAGTGCTCCTCTCACTTGCCAGGTGGGAAAGTGAAAGCTCACAACCCAAGTTCTCTAGGAAGTCCTTTCCCTTCATAGTGAGCTCTTGTCCTGGTGAACCCAGTTTGCTAAGAGACAGGAGCAGTCTTAGTGCTGGGAGGAGAACCTGGTTGTCTCTCTGTGACAAGCACTTCCCAGCTGACTCATTCTGGGTTGAAGAGAAGAAACTCATTTTTACCAAGGATCTCACCTCTCTGAAGACTGTTCTTTATATTCTGCTCCCCTCTGAGCTCGGCAGTAGTGTCTGGTGCTGTGAAGCATAGCAGCCTTCACTGACAAGCCTTGCACCCTGCGTGTCTTCTTTTCTTTGAATGTTTTCCATCAGGAGAGCAACCAGTCTGTACTTCCTACAAAAATTGCTTCTGGCTGCCAGGCTGGATCCGCTTTCAGCACTAGAAGTGACACTGTAGTGCAGTGTTTCTCCTAACTGCAGCATCAAATGAAGCAGCATACCGCAGAGGAAAAGGACAGTGGGGAACAGTTTGCTACCAGTGACAGTGTAAGGCACAGACTACCCTGACAAGTGCTAGGGTCTGGGGGGGCATTGGTACTGGAGTGCAGTGCCCACCTCCCACAGAGCCAACTGCATCCCACCCATGGCACAGCACCTCTGCTCAGGCCCTCCTTCCAAGCAAAAATGTTAAGTGTTTCTGGTGGAGCATGTTGTCGGTTCATTCGCATCCCTCTGGATTCATGCATAGCTCAGGTCTGGGATGTTGGTTCTCTGTAGAGATTTGCTTTTACACTGATTGACAAGTCAGCAGTATGGTGATGTTGGGACTTCAGCCAGCGCAAATGTTGGTGCCTGGGAGACCAGCAACACACCTCAGAAAGGTTTAGATTGGGTCGTACCTTTCCTGGGCACTGTCAGCTTTTCTGGAGCTGACAAAGCTGGATTCTCTATATTCCAGTCCTTCAAGCTGCACTTCCAGAGAAGCCTGCAAGCCCTGAAAATCCCAAATAAATACTGTCCCTTGTGACACTGTGTGTGAATATCACGTCAGGCTCAGACAAAGGTGAGGCTGCTCTCACCTTTTAAAGAAGCAAGACTCAGGGCTTCTTGCCATCACAAAAATCAGAAGGAACAAAACTGAATTAACCATTTCTGCCCATCTCAGGCTACTGTGTCCAGTCTGTTCCTGGAAATCCTGGTTAATCTTGCAAAATCGGGGGGGGGGGCTATCCCCACAGCCTTGCCTCTCTTTCCCTTTGCCTTCCTTCCCCAGCAGATTAGTGAACGCAGGAGAGACACAATGACTTTTTCTCCTCTCCTAGTACTAGTCTCTTCTAGTAAATTTTGACAGCATTCTGTTTTAAAGGCAGGAAATTCTTCCATTAACCTCTGCTCTGCTGATGGGAGCTGCAGGCTCTGAGGGGGGAGGCTGGAGGAAGCAGGAGAGCACCAGTACCTTTCTGCCCTGGGGAGGTGAATTTCAGCCAGCCCATCGTACCACTGGCTGAACATCAGCACAGCCGAGCCACTGCCATGACATTAAGTTGTAAAAGGCAGGAAATGTTCTTTATTGCTTTGTCTGGCAGATTTCTTTAAAAAGAACTACAAGGAGCCACTCTGGATGTGCTGCTTTTACTAAGTTTAATGCTGTTCCTGGAGGTCCTGCATGTGTTATGGCCTAATCCTGCCCTTTGTTCTCTCAGTCCTTCATACCTGGTGGTATCGGTCTCTGCACTTGGTCTATCTGAGCATGCAAGGAAGTGCAGTCAGGGGGATACAAACGACATTCCTTATGCTGAAAGGAACAGCATGTTTCTGGTTTGAACTAGCAATGTACTCGGTGGATTTCAGCACACATGGATGGCAGACCCCCAGGTCTTACGTTGTATGTGTGCACAAATCCTATTGTGATGCTCTTTGCAGCATGCTAATTGAAGAAGGTCTTCTGAGGAGCTCTGTCTGAGTATAGGGAGGCTTCTTTTTCCCACCTAGCTAACTTCTAAAGCATGAAGTAAGATTTCAGCTGTTTAGGTAACAAATACATTTCTGGTCTTAAAAATCTCTAATGGCTTGCCTATGCACTAGAGTGCATCTTTAGGCAGATTTAATATAGTACAATACATCTTGATGCTTCAGAAATCATATATATTACAGTATGTACAAGAAAATTGGAGTGAAGAAATCATAGTACACTGTAATACCATAGCACCTTTTAAAAAACTGATCCTGGGCATAATCTCTAATATCTCAAAACTTATCCCTCAAGAATTCCCATTAAGAGGGATAATAGTTCACTAGCCGTATCAGAGCATAACAAGTTCAAAAGCAAAAATTCATTAAGGAAACCTCTTTCTTCATAAACTACAGTGAAAATGACTGAAGGGATTCACACTTGTGCCCTTGAGATGTGTCAGTTCTCTGGAAATGTAGTATTATAGAAAAATTTAGTGTTCCCAGACACCTTCCTCAGAAATAGCAGAGATAAATCACAGCTATGCTAAGCCCAGCCAGCAAACTCAATTTCTTTCCTAAATCAAGTTCTCCACACAGTAAATAAAAGGGGAGCACCTGAAGCTAGTTGGGCATCTGTTCTCTGAAGGGGGCAGACCCATGGCCAGAGACCCCCATGAGATGTCTATTAGCCCCTTCACTGCTGCCGAACTGTATTGGCAAAAATGAATGACAGTTTCCACTCTGAGGAATGTAGGAGGTAGGACAAAGCAGTGAAAAGCAACAGGGGGATGCCCAGGAAGGCTTTCTTACAGTGAGATCAGTAGGACTGCAGAGGAGCATTGGGTATGCATGGGAGATCTCTTCTGTGTACCACTGAGACCTACACCCAACAAAGCTCTAATACACGGGCAATGAGAATTTCCCTTGTGTGCCCAAGGGTGATGGCATAGCTGTTCCATGTATCTCTTCCATCTCTAATGTCAGACTTCAGAATAGATCTTTAATTCCCTTTTTCCACAGAAGTGGGGCCCACAGGTAGGGACTAACTGTTCCTGAAATACTTTTCTTGTTCAGGGAGACTCCCAGAAAAATTGTATTGACGTCTCAGTGCCAATATACATGTGGATGTATTTGAGAATGTATGAGTGTATATAGAAGGTCAGCTAAAATCCTTTCTCTGCTGAAACTATCTGAAATCAGTAGATTTATTTATTTATTGCCAGAGCACTCAGGAGCCCCTAATCACACATGTGGATATACAGAGTTTCTTCTAGAAGAGGACCTAGCCCTTGAATTCAGTAAACCCAGGATTTCAACTTAACCTGTAGTGCTCTATGAGTTTTTCTTGATTTATATCTTATCTAAATTTTGAGAATATAGACTCATAGAATCAACTAGGTTGGAAAAGCCTTTAAGATCATCAAGTCCAACCTTTACCCGAGGACTGCCAATCACTCTGTCAGGGCCAAGGGGTAGGGCAGCTCAAGGCAACGTCCTCCTAAAATCTATTTCCTAGTGTGCAGAAAGCAAAATGGTGGTGGTAACCACTAGGATTGGTGAGGTTGTTGTGAGGACAGCAGTATGATATTTCTGAATATTCATCTGGTTATCAGCATAGGTTGTTTTGTCACTATTTTGTCTGTGTTGAAGGTAATCTTCTGGCACAGGCTGCATTCACGGAGAATTCCACTCAAGCTGTCATGGTCCATACATCTGATCTCATTCCATCAGCACACACCTACAACTCAGAAACTTGTTTTTCAGTAGAGACAGTCAGTCTCTACAGTTGCAACACATCAAAAGACACTGAGCAGCTCTGATCTTAATCACTCAAACTGGATTTTACATAGAAACAAACAGCTGAAAAATAAGTATTTCTTTTCCAATTTAGAAATTACAGATATATCACTGTCATCTAATGCATGGTTAAGCCAGCCTTTCGCTGTGTGGAGCAAGGCACTGGCTGTAGAGGGTGGGGGACTGTGCCTTGCTCTAGGCAGTTACACCACCTCCCCTGTTCCATGGGGCAGGCTGGCAGCAAAGATGGTGAAGGTCCTCTCTGTGCTGCAGGAGGTCCTTGGAGCAGAGCATCCCGATAGCATCATTTCCATTCACTCCCAGACTGATTCCTTCAGACTAATCAAGTGTCATAAAAAAGCACCTCAGCTTAACTGATAGTCCATTTCACTTAGAGGTAATTGAGCAGGGGATGCATTCAACCTGTACAGAATTCAAAATGAAAAGCCACTAGACTCCGGTGTTGTTGACAGGAAAATATTGTACTCATCACTCCAGCTGTTTCTGATTGCTAGTTACAAATATGTGTTATGAAATTCCCATTTACTTAGGCATTGCAGGTCATCGGACAGGGAAGATGGATGATGTCATCAGCTTCCATTTTTTCTGGATGAGCGATGCGGTGTTGCTGGCATTAATATGCAAGCCTTATGCAAGATCCCTTTCCATGGATCTGTTGATCTGCAGTTGAAAATGAAGAGCATCAGCACTGCCACAATCATTCCTGAAGGAATTCCTTGTAATTGCGCTTTTGTCGAGTAGATAGTGAAAGGTGAGGCTGAAATTTGAGAATTTGCTTTAATTTGTAACCATATCCAGAATTTCAGTTCAGATCTCACACACAGAAAAAAAACCCGGACTCCAGTATATTGTATTGCTTACTCCATTATGTGGTAGTTAATAATTAAAAGCATGCTGCAATTGCTTTTATGAATTCATAATGGGGAGATGAAGGATTACCGCAAGTTGTAATTTGACATCCAATAATCTTTGCTGTATTTCAGTTATTTGCTAGTGAAGCTTAATTTCTTTCTTCAATTTTGATGATACAAAGAAAGAATTAACACGAGATGTTTCCTCTGCACTTGTGCAATTCTAAAGTGCCTTATTTAAAAAAAAGGAAAATTTCATGCAGTTTGCTGGAGCGCCTCTTCAAAGCCCCCTTACATGGTATTGTTCTATGACATCCATCATCCCTCATAGACGGCTGTAAAATTGGCTGACCTGGGGACTGCTGCCACTGATGTGACCTACTGGATCCCTTCAGCCCCTGGGGACACAGTCTGGTCCATCATGAAGTCGAGTGGGTTTTATGCCATGCAATTTTATCCTTAGGTTTCTTTATGTATCTGTGTCTCCAGACATACAAAGACTACAGTAGGCATCAAACACTAGATACAGACACCAGCACCAGGTATTTCATTTCTAAGCTATGACTGCTTGAACCGTGTAGCACCTGAAGGCCCAACCAAGCTGAGCTTGATACTAGCAGACATGGAAACGCCTCTTGGCCAGCAGCTTTACTGCAGGGCAGGGAAGAATGCAGACACATGGATGGACTGCTCTGGGATTAATGAGAGAGCAAAGCAGTCCTCTCCCAGACAATTCCTAGGTGTAATTCAGAAGCAGGTAAGGCACAAGACACTTTCCAAAGAGATGACCTGCATGTGACTGCCTGTGTTCTGGAGGTTAAGGAGCTTTTAACCACAAGGAGATGAGCCATTTCATGCCTGAGAAGAGTGCTGGGAATGATCAGTTTAATGGTGCAGCTATGGTCTCTGTGGCAGTACTCTGTAGTGAAAAAGCTGTGCATTGAAAACACAAGGATGTTTGCTTTGTGCCCTGGGCATCCACCTTGTCATGGTCACGATCGTGGCCAACATGATCAACAAAAAAAACAAGGCTTGAAGGAGCTCCTCAGCCTCTCCTCTGCACCTGCTGCATGTCATACCAGCTCTTACTGCTACTGATCAATGCAGTGAAGTTTGACTTAGTTAGTGTGATCCCTACCATGCAGGATGGCACACAACAATGCATGGTGGGTGAGGAGGTGCTTTGGCTAACAGACCTCTCCCACATCCCAAACATTAAGGAAAGTCAGATGCAAGGATGTGGGGAGGAGGGATATAGGGCCTGCCTGGTCCTCTCCCTTCCTGTCCTTCTGTCTTTTTCTCTTCAGCTGCTATACTGAGTGAAGAGCCTAAAATGGAAGCAGTCTGTCGTTTGTCAAGCTCAGGCATGCAGCCCTAATGGCAAGAGGCTGCTGACCACGTGAGGTACCAACACGGTCTCCTGAGTAACACATGCATTTTGGCACAAAAGCTGGCCATTCCTGGCTGCAACCAAGGACTGGTTTCTGACCTTTCCATGTCTGTATGCAGCTTGCAACATCTTTAATGAGAAACAGCGCTGCTCAGTTGTAAAAAGTTCTCTGTACTTTATATGTCTGCTATTTCTTCATATTGCTGCTGGCAAATCTTGCCAAAGAAGCTGTGGGCGCAAGTGTGGTCCTTGCAGATGTTGGCCACAGGCAGGGCTGCTCCCCAGCCAGCCAGATGTGGCTTTTTGCAGTGTAACTCTGAATGTGAAGCATGTAGATAACGACATAATGTATATGAGATTAGGAAGAGGCATGGGACACTGTAAGGCTTGCTTTAGATGGTATATAGTAGATAGGAAAGGTCAATGGGAGCTATTTTGAGCTGGATATGCACTCCAAGGATGGGATTTTTGTGCTCTCTGGTCTATGTTTGAGTTTTCCTGGCCAGGAGACAGCTTATTTCTCTTCAGAGTAAGACTGGATGTGAACTAGTACGCATGCAGCTTACACAATCTGGCAAACTGACACTGCATGAGATGGAAATGGCCCAGCAAGACATTGCAGTGTTCTGCTCTAATGTCCTGCATGGCACAGACCATGCAGTTTCATCAAGTATATACTTCCTCAGGCTTGCAGCTTCTTCCAGAGATAAACTGTATCTCACGAAAGGTAACTCATTACATTGGGAGAGAGTTCCCAACTAGAAATCTCTAATTACACATCCTCAGTGAGCTCTCCTTTTAGTCTGAATTTGAGACTTTCCACTTCCAGCCTTTTACCTATTAAGTTAGAGTTTTCTACTGCCAGGTGTCTCTTTGTACAGGTATGTATAGGATCTTCTCTTTGTTGAGATTAGTTTCCTTTGATTTCTCATTGGAAGAAATTATCCAGATCTCAAGTAATTACTACAGACTTTTTCTGAACCCTTTTACAGTTGACAACATTCTTTTAAGAAATGGAAATGAGAAGTGAGGAGCCAGTACTCCAATCAGTACTGTTGCTTTCAGTGGAAATGACATTGTTTATACCTCACATTTGCTTTTTGGCTGCTGTAACACACCGGGAGCTCATGTGCTCTTAGTGACTCATCATGCCTTTGCAATTAGTTTTTAAGTCATTCTTTTCAAGTACCAATCTATGACCTACATTTTTGTTTCATACGTATATGACCTTGCCTTTAACTTGCTTACAGCGCCTGCTGTTCAGGTGAGCCTTAGTTTCCGTGATCACCACATCACTCATGGAAGCCGACCTTATTAATTATGATCCTGCTAGCTTTTGGGTTGCCTGCAAACTGTGATGGTTAATGGAGGTGTCAACTCTCCAGTTGGCTGACACATCTTGTTGCTCACACTAGAGGTTAACTTACATCATTACAGCTGGCCTTCTGGGGAGGAAGATGCTGCACCCTGCTCCTTGTGCTCCCCTTTGGGGTTATGGTTTTCTGTTTGTGGTACCAGAAGCTATGTCTTTGAGGTACCAGAGCTCACCCTGTGATTGTCAGAAAAGACTCGGAGGCAGCGCAAATCACCAATCATCACTGGGCTGTGCTTGCAGGTGCTGCTGGAATCCTTCTGGAAGCAACTGCAAGCCTTTCTGGACACTAAGGCAGAGGCAGGCAGTGAAGCTGAATTCCTAGAATACGCTTTTTTGGCCTAGTTTCATAAAGATAGCAGATCTTTACAACCATACTGCTGCCTGTCTGTCTCTTCCAGGCCCTCCAATGAATGAGGACTGTTTGAGAGCTTAAAGTGAATTTGCCAGAGGGCTCTGCTCCCACAGAAGCTGATTTCCTACAAGCAACAAAAAGCAGTGGGTGAAAGGAGGGGAGAGACTCTGCTAATGCAGCATGAGCTCAACGCCTACCTGTTGAGCTTGGGCTGCCAGCTGGCTGCACAGCACCAGCATGCCATGGAGCTCAGAAGGAGACATAGCACCTCCTGCCTCTGGGGCGAGAAGGGAAGAAGGACCCTGTGCCTGGAATGTGGAGGACAAGCCACATGGAAAACCACTGGAAATGGTGTGGGCAGCAAGAGCTTGCAGGAAATTGAGTGGGAGCAGTTGGCAACCCAGGCTTTGTAACCTTACTCGTAGAGCTGCAGGTCTGGGGTCAATGGCATGGCACTTACCTACAGGTCTAAGAGGAATAGTTCCTCTGTATCAGTAATCGCACATCAGTTGACTCATTTCCAACAAAATGACAGTGACTGAATGTTTCAGGACCATTTCTCTGTGTCACATGCACAGGATCCTTCCCCATTAGTGCTAATACATTGAAATCAGGAGTGATTGAACACTAATTACCCTTCTGTTTGCACTTTGTAGTCTAGGGGAGCACATGCTCTGGGTCAGATGCAAACAGCAACACTGCTGTGCAACCATTACAGCCGCATCTGAAATGACTTTGTCTCTGGAGCCCTTTATTGTACCTCCTTTGGGGCTGTTTGGATATGTGATGTTGTCTGATAATAGCATTTACTCTACAGGAATGTTGCAAAGATTAATTAATTAATTAGGGTTTTTTTGAAGTTGGGAAAACAAAAAGTGCTATACAGAATCACAGAATAAATGTTCCCAGGTATTATCAAGTATTATAGAGAAATGTTTCAAAACCTCATCTTTTTTTTCTTGTATATTTTTGCAGCTTTAACTTCCTATCTCGTGCCACACAAATTTCGATTACCAGTAACAGTCCAGTATGCTATGTGCCAAATGATAGTTCCCCAAAAATGTGTGAAGCCAATTCTAAAGATAAGGACTTTTTTGTCATTATATGAGTACATTAATATTTTATATGTCATATAAAATATATTTATGAGTGAGAATACATGTATATATACCCACATATGTATGTGTTACAAACAGGTATGCATGTATATATGTATATATATGTATGGCAACAATATGATAAAGAGAAGTTTTAGTAATTCTTCACAGATGACACTGTGGTAATACATTCTCCCAGGAATAATATGTAGGTCCCTTTAGGTCCACAACTCCTCTGTGTCTCTGACACTACCGTAGTAGCAATGATTCATAGCAAATAAATGATTATATAGTAAATTATATATATGAAATCTCTCACCATCATAGTTTGCTACCAAAAGCCCTTCTGGATTTAGCCCACTATTATTTAATGAGGACATTCAGGTACTTCTGATAGGCAGCACAGTGACAAGGTGACCTTATAAAAACCCAGAGAGGAACTGGTAAGGAAGGGATTTTTCTTTCCTCCGTCCCACTGTGATACAAATGCCATCTTTTCATAGTACAGTGTGTCTGTGTGCCATATGTGAATACAGGAAAAAGAGACAGCAAAGGAAAGCCTGAAATGTTCAGTACCAAATCACATTAATTTCTCAGGGAGTTTTGTTGATTTAATGGTTAAGGCAAAATACTGCAAGGACATTCTCATTGAGAAATAATCAATGAAAGGTTTTTAAAAAAAAAAAACACAGAAAAATAAATTCATTCATACAACCAGGAGTGATTCTACAGCCACATAATTAGCAGATATCTTTAGGTTTTCTTCAGAAAGAATGCCAATCAGCATTCATGTGATTGACAAAGACAACGCTGATGTGAATGATACATGGATCTGCAAAGCCAGGAATGAAATATGTGGAAGGAAAGGGTTTGTGATTGTCAAAGAGACTGGCAGCTGAAGGCTCACAGAGAGGTCAGTGAGCAGAAAGTAAATACATAATTCAAGTTGTGGAAAGTAGACTCCTTTGGTGTTCTTGTGTTCAGAGAAGGGGAATATCCCATCATAGGACAAAGTCTCTGTTTCATCTCAGGAGAAATGTTCTGGCTTTTCTCTCCCCCCGGGACTGCAAGAATAGAGAACTGTAGAAATATCGCTGACTAGCAAAAACAACAGGCTGCAACCAACCTTTTATGTTCTTGAATAGAGCAGCTAAGCTGGTCTTTAGCCCACTGATGACCCGATGTGGCACAGTGACTAGCAGGACCAAAACTCAGTTGTGCTGGCAGATACTCTGAGGATCCTTTGGTGGGATCTGCACCAGGGAACACAACTGGCTGTTCCAGTACTTGGTTAACCAGCAACTGCTACCCAGATGCACAGAGGTTATAAGCACATGAGATCCTTGGGCCACCTACAGAGGTTAGGTCCATGCACAGAGAGTGGTTAGGGCAAACTGTAACAACATCAATAGTTCAAATACAGTACTTGGCAAATACATTACTACTGTGCTTTATGCTACAACCAAGAGATCCCGCAGAATGCCATAAATCTTCGGAATCAGCCGGGTAATTCCACGGTGTAGCCTTCGCCAGTGGCCACGCTGTGACTCAAAAGCACCACCTGCTGACTCCCCAGAGTAGCAGAGCCTTTCCGACTGCCATCTTCATCAAATCCTATTTCATCTACTTGCAGCTGCTTGACGATTTCAATGGGTTTAGCAGCATCAGGGTGATAGTTTAAAAATGCCATTGCTAATAACTTTTAACTATATGCTGATAAAGATGTTTTTTATTATAAAACCTGAAACCTACCATCTTCAGTCTAGCAATGTGAGGATGGAGGCATTTCTTTCGGAAAGGATTTCAACTTCAGTTCCAATTTTATGTCAAAAATACAGCTGTAGATAGAGTTTATGTCACAACTGATTGCAGGGCATTTAGATGTCGAACTGCTCACTTTCCAGAGAAAACAAAATAGCTATCTAAGTACAATAAAATGTGCCTGCAATTATATGTGCCAGCAAAAAGTACACCTGCAGATGTTGTCAAGTGCAAAAATCTTACACTTGAAATCATTTCCAAACGTGTGGAGTTTCTAAAAAGCAAACCATATAATCGTAGAATCAGAGCAGTCTGTGTTGGAAGGGACCTTAAAGATCATCTGGTTTCAACCCCTCTGCCACGAGCAGGGACGCTTTCCACTAGACCAGGTTGCTCAAAGCCCTATCCAACCTGGCCTTGAACACTTCCAGGGATGGGGCAGCCACACTTCTCTGAGCAACCTGTGCCAGTGCCTCAGCACTCTCCTGGTGAAGAATATCTTCCTAATACATGAATACCTATTGTGAGTACAAAGCACATCTTGCTTTTGCATTTGAAGGGATAGCCACTCAGTAATCTTGAATCCTGACATTTACACTTCTGGATCATAAGGGATTTTAATTCTTAAATAAGGATGAATAAAATCATAATTAAAGAAAATAGTAATATGGCCATCCTCTATGTTGCTTCCCAAGCCTGCTGTCACTGTTTGTTCTTTTTTATTACCTTTCCTTTTCTCTCCTTTTCCTCTCTCTCTCTCTCACACATGGAAAATTTTCCTAGGGTCATTCCTCCCGTCACTATTCAGGGAAGGTTACAGAAGTGATTTGCCTTTTGGGAGTGCAGATTAACCGTTAGTGCCAATGAATTCCACACCTTAGGCCTCTCTGTCAAGATCCCTTGATCACAAGCAGTCTCGGCGCAGTCTCTGCCAACACTTCATTTTCCATGGAGCTACAGTGAGTCACGGATGGGTCAGCAACCTAGGATGTACAGTATTTTAAAATTAGGGTGATAATTCAATGTTAGAAAGTGAGCTAGTGGGGCATAAAAACTACTCCTTTGCACCCAAGAGACAGGCAATAGCCTACCGTGCCTTTCAGATGTCTCGGAGAGCTGCCCTTGGCACCCTGCATTGCACTGCACATGGTAAGCACCATCTTCCAGTAAAGGAGGGCTGGATGGAGCTCCTTTTGAAAATGTAACCCACCAGTGCCACTCTGTCAGAGCCAGAGCGCTGACAGGGCTGACATCAGGCACTATTTTTGCAGAGGAATTTCCTATTCCTTAAAGCATGACAAACTGTGCCAGCCCTAAGGCTGAGCATCCATATTCAGAAAGATCAGCAGAACAACTCTTTCCTGACCAGAATAATATCCTGACCAGACTTCAGATAGTTCCCTAGGATTAGGGTTTTTTTTTGTATCAGGAATGTACAATGTAATAAGTGTCAGTAAGTGACCTGCTGAGGCTCTCTGCTCTTTCAGTTTGGCTGTTGACTCCTTGGGGAAGATGGGTGAGATGAGATGCTTCAGAAGCTCCATCTGGGGCTCTTTAAGGCATTTAGAGGACTCCCTCAGTCTGCATTCTTGGTTGAATGCCCACAGAGGATGGACCACAGGAGAAGGCAGCTCTTCATGAGCCTTCCCCTACCCATGTGACTCTGACTCAAGCAGCACAGATGTGCTCCTGCTTATCCTGATGCTGATGCTGAGGGCTCCTTCCATAAGGCCACCCCCTCCTAGACTCCAGCAGGGGCTGCTGCCAGACACCCAACAAATTCTCCACTTGCCATTGCTGCACTCTGTAATGCCACGATGGCAAATCATGTATCAAAAGGACATACTCCCCACCTCCATTCTGGTAAAGCTCTCTCCTTCCTCAAACCACCATAAAGAGGAGCAGCTGGGAGAGACAATACAGTATGTCTTTATTGTACTTCCTTTAACAACTCAAAAGTTTTCCCAGATTACACGGTAACTACAACTATTAACATGCATATGGTGCCTTCCTGAGAGTGTTCCTAAGCATGTCTCAGCTATTTTACCAAGACAGATTAGAAGGCATTACTCATCTGTAGCAGTATTGTTGCTTGCCAAAGCCTTTTGATCCATCACTGTGCATGTCCTTTGTAATGATAATTTAGTAAGAGAGACTGATACTTAATAATTCAATTTTGGAACTTCCCCTTATCTGCCTTTTGTGTGCTGATATGAAACGGCACCGTTACAAAATACAATCATGCTCTTGATATTTCAGATACTGCAGATATGTGTAAACACTATTGCCTGCTTATAGCCTTGTTTTCTGTATTTAATTAATGTGACACTACTGGGTTGGTACTTCAGAGACTGATATTCTCTGATGAATTCGGAGGAGTTGCTAGAGAAGATGCAGTAGTTTCCATAACTGCTACCTACTAGTGTCCCTTGGCTTTGACCTTTTGCATCCAACCTGGAGAGCAAGAGATTAGAGAAGCTGCCAGGTCTGTTCAGTCCTGTCTCTCTACATTGTGATGACCAGAATAGCACTATTTTCCTGCAACTTGGCTACTGATACGGGGCAGCTTTCAAACCCAAGAAACCAAACTGAAGCAAAATGCTCTTCAGAAATAATATTGTCAGACAAGCCTGTTAGTTGGATGTAAGCTACTTAAATCGAAAGGTGAGAGGGACTGTATATTGCTGCTAGACCAACAGGTTATCAGATAAACCTCCCTCAAAAGCATTTTCTGTTAAGGAAACAGGAGGCTGTGCTTTTCATTTTTCATTCGTTGTGTGCAGTGTTAGCTTGACAAACCAGCTTTAAAACTCTAGCATATATACACATAAAGACTGATAGTGAAAACAGCTTTACAATAGCAGATTGTTGAAAAGGCAGACTTTAACTGAATTTGGATGAGACTCTACAGAATAAATGTACTTACAGATGGAAGAACCCTATATGAAGAGGTCTTTTCGTTTTGTGGGACTAAGCTACAATGATTTTGTCTATCGAATTGAAATGCATCAATTTGCCAAGTATGTCCAACTCCATCTACCCTTGCACAAATCACATTCAGATTGATCACCCTGGGTGATGTCCATTTTTGTGCCCATTTTTCCAGATACCTCTGTGGATGACCAGCACAGACATGGTCTGAGTCTTGCTAGATGACATCGGTTTCTCTTGTATAACGCACATGAATATTTTTGTGTAGGTTTTGATTTCAAAGTGATATGAGTTATAGTCTACTGGAGTGGTGTTTTTAAAATACAAAATAGAGAATAAATGTTACATGCCTGGAGTTTGTCATAGATATGAATGAGGATGTCTTGAGTGCAGCAAGCCAGCTGGAACTTCGCGGACCAAAAGAAACGTAACTTGACATGGTCTGACCTCTCCTGGCAGCTGGAATAAGTCTCCAGGGGACACAATACCCAGAACACTGCCCAAATTTGGTCCTGGAAGGAACCAGCTCTCTTGAAAACTGCTCAAGAAAGTGGTAATGTACATGCAGTGTGAGACCAGGGGCCCCAGGGCCCAGCTCCTGGATAACCAGAATGCTGAGGGTCAGTTACATGGAGGGGTGTGCAGGGCATGCCTGCATGTAGAGAGTTGTGAGTACCTGCAACAGGCATGGGGCTGTGGGCTTCAGAGGCTCACATCAGAAGTGCCAGAGCCTGGGGGGGCTTGGGATGTGGTCCTAGCTGCTGGGCAGTCTGGGTGTCTCAGGCCACCTATTGGAGGGATCTTTCCAGAAACTGGGAGGTGGAGGGGAGGGTGTTTGCAGGCAAAACATAATATAAATAAAGAGCGAAGTCAAATCTTACTGCACAAGAACACTTAAAGAAAGCAGACTGAAGTGGTCATCATAGAATCATAGAGTGGTTTGGGTTGGAAGGGACCTTAAAGTTCATCTAGTTCCACA